GGCCGTGGCAACATGATCATCAACCAGGTTGCTCCACTCAGCGGGTGTTACACTGCCGATGTCCCGCCCTCAAGTTGAAATGTCCTGTCTCGCGTATCGCAAAGAAGCAGGAGCACCCGTGCATCAGCTCTGAAGTTTCCTTCATGCACTCTAGGACTCCCTCCACTCGATGGATCAATGAAGCCGTTAACATTGGCCAAGGTGCCACTCACCGGCAGCCGCCAGCTCGACGCACATCTGCTCCTCCAGGAACTTGGGCACATCTTCGGAGCGAGCACCTCACTGAGCTCATCCAAGTCCCGTTTGGACCCAGCGATTTGGGTCATGCAAATATGCTCCGCGTTCGTGTTGGTCAAATGATGATTTGAGACGTGTCCAATGTTGTCCCAGCAACAATGTCATGAATTAGTGGGATGTTAGTCAGGACTCCCAATTGATTCGCCTATGGAGATCAACTGCTTGGGATCGTGATTCAAACTAATAGGCCAAAAAGAAAGCAGGTCGTTTTGGGCAACTGAGTGCTGTCATTTTGCTCATACATCTTCCTCAGGCGGTCGAACCTGTGCCACTCCAAAAAAAGTCGTCTACAAACAAAGATCCTCGTAGATCGGGCCAGTGTGGAGGACCAGACGCTTGCAGGACGCCTTTGAAAGCCAATGTGAAAAGGCCTTGTTCCTTGAGAACTGCAGCCTTGGGCAGCGAGCCAGCAGGCGAGCCTGATGTCGAAGAAAGCCTACTCACGATTGAGGGGAGGACATGCAACCGTTGGAACCAGTCACGAACGTCGCCTGGGAGAGTGCATCGAGATTCGCAAGGACTTATTTATGAAAAGGTATCAGAGTCCCAAAGCCACCAAAATGTCAGCAATCTCATTTTGAGAGTGATTGCGGCTCCTTTGGCCTAAGCATGATCCAATAATTCACAGTGGAAGGAATGCTTGCAGAATTATTCAGGAAATATCATTTTTCATCCACATGTCCAATGGCTCATTTGTCGGTGCATGTTGCAACCAAGCGAGTCCACATGGCTGTACAAATGCTCGTGACGTAGCCATGAAAACTGCTATCATCTGCTGAAACACACGCACTTCAAGATGTTGTTTCGCATTGGGCAAACAGGTGCCCTGACTCTGCCTTGACGTTGTGGTCGAGTGTCTGTTTGTTGACCTGACCACCTTGCCCGATTGCCTGGCAATCGGCAAGCCAAGGCAGAGGGCAACATCTGTTTGAATGTGCAACACCACCCAACTCGTCAACCACAACGACATAAACCCAATCACCACCCCACCTGCTACCCGCCCAACAGCAGCCTTCAGAACAAACAGATGCAAGAGCAAGCATAAACAAGCATACAGCCAACAAACCAACGAACCAACGAACCAACCAACGAACCAACGAACCAACGAACCAACGAACGAACAACCGACCCAACGAACGAACGAACCAACGAACCAACGAACCAACGAACCAACGAACCAACGAACCAATCAACCAACCAACCAACCAACCAACCAACCAACCAACCAACCAACCAACCAACCAACCAACCAACCAACCAACCAACCAACCAACCAACCAACCAACCAACCAACCAACCAACCAACCAACCAACCAACCAACCAACCAACCAACCAACCAACCAACCAACCAACCAACCAACCAACCAACCAACCAACCAACCAACCAACCAACCAACCAATTGACAAACCAGACAAACCAACCGACTGACCGACAGATCGACCGACTGACCGACCAACCAGCCAACCAGCCCGCCAACCGGCCACCCAGCCAACCCGCCAACGGGCCACCCAGCCACCCAGCCAACCAACCAACAGCCTGCAACACCAAGTTCAACACCAGTTCAGCAAGTTCAACAGCAACACTAAATCGCCTGCCCGCCCTTTGGGGGGGTGGGTGGAGGGGGTCCAAAAATTGCAACAATTCTTATAACACCAAAAGCAAAAAAGTAAAAAGCATCCGAGGCGCTGATGCCCGGCAGCTGCCAGCAGGTGGTGCCCGAAGCCAGGTCCTGAAAGTAGCGCCGGCCGCCGTCCTCCCAGGCCTTGTACGCTGCTTGGCGCCCCTTCGGCAGCCTGTCAGACGCTCTGCCAGGCTTCTCTCGGGCGGAAAAAAAAAGAGGAAAAAAGCGGAAGGCACAAGTTGAAAAGGATTGGGTGCCAAGGGCTCCAATTCTGCGTTTGGACAGAAAATAGGAAGATGCTCCGTTTAGCATGCAAAGTTCAGTGTGCACATGCTGGAAAACCACATCTCCTGCAAACACCTCAGACCACTTGGAAACATGTCCAAGCCTGTTGAAACAGCTTGGAACCTCTGAACGGCCGCTCTCGGAGCTGCAATGCGCCTGCCTCTCGCCCCACCAGATCGGCCGCTGCAAATGAAAGGCCCGGAAGAGCGCCTGCCGGTTCAGCTGAGCAACGTAGCTAGATCCAACCACAAGAAACAGCTGTGGGTCAAAAATAGGTACCCATTTAAGTAACCTGGTAAATGGAAGCATGGACTAAGCCCTGTGGTCCCCTGGTGGTTTAATTTTGACCCACACCCAAATGGCTCCTCACCAACATTGATCGTCATGGAGGGAAGGCTCCCGGAAAGAAGCTGCCCGCCAATGAAATGATCATTCTGCAAGCTTCAGAGCTGTCCCTCTGTTTTCTGCTATACCCTCACCCCTCCGCCCCAAACATCCACCAGGCCAATTGCTAAAGGCTCCTGTTTGTCTGAGAGTTGTTCTTTTTGGTTGCGGTGGGGTGCTTGCATGGATGGTTGCTTGACACGTGTCCAGCTTGAGGATTTGATACGGCCACTGTGAGAGGATCGAGTCTCGCTGGGCCTTGACCTCTTGCTTCTACTTTTGTTCAGAGAAAGGAGCCAATTAATAGCTGGCAAGTCTGTCTTTCCCCATGGTTCACCCACATCTGCTTTAGCTTTTGGCCGGTCACCATCACCTCTGTCGCATCAGCACTTCTAAAGTTCACTCCTGATGTCTGTGTGTCCAAGCGCATGCGCAAATACAATTTGCGTGTTCCAATACATGTTCGTGTTGTCAGTCAGTGTCACTGCCTCTGCCTGTGCCGGTTACTGTCAGTGTTTCTGCATCTGTCTGAGTTTATGTCTGTGCTTGTATGTGCATCATGTTTTTCAACCTCATGTGCGCAAAATACGGCCCATGCTTTCGCTCAGCACGATTCAATGACCCCTTCCAAGCAAAGCGAACCAACACAAATGAACAACCCGCAAGGAAAACCCACCCTCCCAAGAACCGGTCCGACCACACGGCGCGCTCCCACCGCCTTGTCGGTTGAAAAGTCCACCCAAAGGCAAACCTCCGGAGGCGGCAGCGCCAGCTTTTGGACAGATGGCACCGCGGAGGCCGTGGTTAGCGAAGACTCCACGGAGATAAAGGGCTTGAATACCTCAGTCAGTCAAACACCACCGGTGTGTGTGTGTGTCTCGAGTCGTCGCTCAGGTAAATTTAAAGGGAGACCAAAGGGACAACTGGGGCTTGATTTTGATACATACCCACCTCCGGTCTGGGAAAACATGAGGTTTACCCCCACCATTGGCCATACATTATCTCCATCGTACCAAAGAACAACAACACCATTTACTTAGGGCATCGGCTGTCGAGTTCCGGCGCTGGGCGACACCCTGCCGGTACGGCAGTTCTCCTGTATGCCCAATGCAGCAAGTGCGAAGCTCCTTGGATACGAATGCCTGGATCTGCGGCTGCATTGCCGTGAGGCCCCTATCACAGAGCCTCAAGCAACATTTCATCCAGAGATTTGTTCGTTACTGGCGTGGTCTTCCCCGTGATCACCTCTGACTATCAGCTCGTGGCATCCCCAACAGCACCCCTTCCGGAACCCTCCCTACCTGCCCCAAACCACCCCAGAGCCCCTCCGGGCAAAGAACCCCTGGCTTCCAGTTGGGGAAAAAAACCTAAGCCTCCGCGAGCAATGCCACGGGATCCCGCTTCACCTCTCCCGAAGCTGAGAGACATCAGACCAGAGCTGTGTGGCTGAGCCCATTCCCATGGTCTCGCGAGGCGCGAGAAACGCGAGCCGCGAGGCGCGAGGCGCGAGACGGCCCGCTGGAGATGGATCTATACGCCTGGACATTTTTTGGAAGGCCCCTGGATGCTCCGATGGTTCTTAGATGCTCTATGCCGAAAAGAGAGCAAGCTATACAGGGCTTTGGAAGATGTGGCTGCAATTCATGGTCCTGTCCGCCACCATTTGCCTGGCTCGGGCATGGCTCAACTTTTCCAGCCAAAGCAGCGGGACAAAAAGGAAGGTTGAGAGATGCAGCTTCATTGCAGTGCCCAAATTCCTCGTCTAAGGCTTCCTTGGCCTAGCCAAAAACAACAGGTTTCTCTCCGCCAACCGCAAAACGGGCAGGTAAGCGGTAAGCGCGTCTCAACAAGGGGGTCCATGCCACTCAATAGCTAAGTGATCATGCAAACGTCCTTTCAATTTGTGATTCTTGCATTTTGCCCAGTCTGGGATGAACAGCTGCCGCCCCGCTCGTGCGTTGGGTTCCATTGGCTACGTGTTCACGGCACTCTTGAAAGCCCAGTTCTGTTCTAGTTTCTGGCGCCGAGCGACGCTTTGTGATTGTAACACTACTACCACTTGGGAAGAACGACGTCTGAGCATTGGCAACTGGCAAGTGTGATTGTAAACTAACTTTGAGCGTTGGCAAGTTTGTCTGAGGAAAGACATCAGCATGCAACAGATCGGGTGGCCTGTTCTTACCGGGGGCACCCGTGGCCGGGTTTGACATGTTCAAATGCTGCAACATAATCATGCCACAAACCTGATCCAACGTAATTCGACATCCTGGCACCTTGGAACAAGTTGTTTGCCACAAAAAGTCGAAACCACTTGAAAGGTTTTGCCCATTTCTGCATTATGTGCTTGAAACACGGCCGCTTGCAGCACGCTCTTGCCGGGTCTATTCAACCAACTCGACCAACTCTGGGTCCTTGCGGGCCCATTCAAGAAGCTCAGGCTCCTGCAAGGCATCTGCGCACATGGGGCCCATGGCCCCTCAACCACATG